CACTTTACAATTTGCCATAAAGGCCAATGGCCTTCATAAAATTCCAAGTTCTGCTGGGACCAACGACGGAAAAAATGTCTTGCAATTTCTTGCATTTATAATATTTCCTTCGGATCTCTCCAAAGTCTAGACATTCGGTTAAGATATGTCTAACCGTAAAATCTGTGTCGCATCCGACACAGAACGGCTTCTCATCTCCCTGTTGGAGGTATTTGTGGGTCAAGGCCGTGTGTCCGATGCGCAATCGAGTAAAAATGACTTCGTCTCTTCTGGAGAGGTCCGAAGGATTTCGCTGTTCCAGTTTTGGTATTATAACATACAGTTTATTGTTTTTCTGTTTTACCAGTGGCTCTCCCACAGACTGGAGGTGCACTTTTTTACTTTATTTCTAAAGTCAGTCTGGGGGAGACTGTTTGTCGTTGATCCCAACAGAAGGGATGAGGCTTTCTTCGCCAGGTCGTCTATCTGCTCGTTTCCTCGGAAGCCCACATGGCTAGGTATCCATGCGAACATGATGTTTTTTCCTGTTTCTGATAGTGTATGAATTTTCTGTTGTAGCCTAACTATTTTTGGGTGTAGGAGTGTGTAGTTAGTGAGTGAGGTGATGCAAGACAGAGAATCAGAAAGGATAAGGAATAATTTGTTAGGAGAATTTTCTACGGAGTCCAGTGCCATGTCAATGGCAGTGGCCTCCGCAGAGAAAATGGAGGCTTCAGGATGGAGTCTTCTCTGGTGTGTACTGTTGGGAGATAGGGCTGCAGCGCCCACTTCATTGTCTTTTTTGGAGCCGTCCGTGAAGATGAGCTCCGCACCGGGGTATTTATCTATCAGTTTTTTGTATTCTGCTTTAAAAGTTTTGGCGTTTGTGCTTCTTTTGTTGTGTGTGGTCAGCTGTAAATCTACTTTTGCCTTGGTGAGGTGCCACGGAGGGAGGTCGGGGAAAAGAAATTGTTGGATGTCTTGTTTGGAAAAGTGCAAGTTTTGAGGTCCTCAAGGATTCTGAGGCCGAAGGGTTTGATGGGTTTTTCGTTGTTTTGGAATTTGTTTCTGGTTTCTGGGTGTGTTTTAAAAATGCAGTTGTGCGCTGGATTTTCCGGTGTTGAGCTCTGTTTAATTGCGTATTGTAGTGAGACTGTGTGCGTCTAAGTGAGAGTGGTGATATGTTGGCCTCGGCCTGGAGGCTCTCCACCGGGGAAGTACGGAAAGCTCCGTTTTGTACTGGGTCTAGCATTTTCAGGATGTGTGGTTTTGCCGATCCGTAGACTTGACAGCCGTAGTCAAGCCTGGACCGGACGAGGGAGATGTACAAGTGGAGAAGGTGTTTTGAGTCCCCGCCCCACTCCGGATGCGATATAATTTTCAAAGCGTTTAGCGCTTTCTGGCACCTCACACGAAGGTCTTTGATGTGTGGTATGAATGTGAGTTTTTGTCAAATATAACGCCTAGGAAACGAGCTTGGTCCTGGACGGGAATCCTTTCCTCGTATAGTGTCAAATCCGGCTGCAGCACACGTCTGCCTGTTCGGCAGAAGTGTACTGCAACCGTCTTTGACGGGGAGAACTTGAAACCGTTATTGTTTGCCCACTTTTCAGCTGCCTTTCCATAGATCTCAGATGAGGATTTTTCGAACGGCAGCATATAAAAAAGTCGTCAACGTATAACGAGCTGTCTATGCTGTTTTGGAGGGTTTTTACGATGGAATCTATTTTGATTTCGAATAGGAGAGGAGAAAGGATGCTCCCCTGGGGGACTCCTTCCGCCTGTTGGTGGGGGTGTGAAAGGGAGGATCCGACACGAACCTGGAAGTAACGGTTCTTCAAGAAGTTGCCGATGAAGGCAGGGAGGGGACCGTGTATGCCGAGTGCGTGCAGGTCTCTGAGAATGGCGTACTTCCAGGTTGTGTCGAAGGCTTTTTCTAGGTCGAAAAAGATGGCGATCATGTGGCCTCCTTCTGCGAACGCCTCGCGGATAAAGGTCTCCAGGCGGACCAGGTGATCCAGAGTGGATCGAGTTTTCCTGAATCCGCACTGGAGACCGCTCAGCGAGTCTGTCGTCTCCACAAACCACATGAGCCGTCTGTGGATCATTTTTTCAATACGTTTGCACAGACAGCTCGTTAGTGCTATTGGTCTGTAATTGAATGGGTGTGTGTGGTCTTTGTTTGGTTTGGGTATTGGAATGACAGTGGCGAGACGCCAAGACTCCGGAAAGGAGTGCGACCGCCACATGTCGTTGTATATGTCTAGTAGGAGTGTAAGTGTTTCTGGGGTTAGGTGTCTAATGATCTGGTTGTGGGTGTCATCCGGTCCCGGGGTTGTATTGCCCAGGTCCGAGATGCACGATGTTAGTTCGTCTATTGTGAAGTCTGCGTTGTAGGTTTCAGTGTTATTTGAGTGGAAGTTTAGGTGTTGTTGTTCTCTGTTAGTTTTGATGTTTTGAAAAGTGGTGTTGTAGTTTGCTTGGGATGAGTTTTTGGCGAGAGAAGAAGCTATTGTGTTTGCAATGTCTACTTGTGTTTCAGCTGTGGTTCAATCCGGCCTCTGGTCTGTGCGTCTGTCCAAGAAATTTTTTTTTAGCGATTTTGAAAACTTGGTTGAGTGGTGTCTGGCTGTTGATTTTGGAGATGTATTTTTTGAATGATTGTCTTTGTGCTCTCCCTGAGGCATCTACGTGCCACAGCTCGAGACTTTCAATAATTTATCTTGTTTTCTGTGGTGGTATTATTGACGGCTTTTCGATACGCTGCCTTCTTTTCTTTACTGCATCCTCACATTCCCAAGAGAACCAGATCTTTTTCCTCCTGGGTTTTGTTTTTGTTTTTGGTATGTGTTTTTGGCATATCTTTAAAAGCTTTTCGTGGAATTTATTGTATTTGAGGTCGAAAGTGGAGTTCAGATTCTGGGAACATTTATTGGCAAACCCGTTCCAATCTGCTTTTTTGAAGTTGAGGCGTTCTGGGATCGGGTTGTTTTGGAGGCTATTGTTTTTGAGAAGAATTGGGAAATGGTTCGTACGGTCATCCAGCACAGACCACTCAAGATCTGGGACTAGGTCAGGGGTACAAAAGGTGAGGTCAATGGATGAAGTGCCATAAGTGGCTCTGTTTCTGTAAGTTGGGGACCTATCATTTAAGAGACAGATGTTATTTTGAAATTTAAAAAAATCTATTATTTTTCCTTTCTGGTCTGTAGGTTTGTTTCCCCAAAGGGGGCTGTGGGCATTGAAATCAACTAGCAAAATAAAGGGTTAGTAGTAGTAGTTGAGGGATTTACGGCGCTCGCAACTGCGTAAGGTCATATGAGCGCGCGAAACACAAGTTGTTTACTTTGGCAAATGCTCACTGCACGATTGGTTAACCATTAGACTTTAAAATGCATAAAGAGTTTTGGAAGCTGAGCCTTTAAGTCCTTTAGTTGGGTTATTTTGAGGGGGTAATTTGGTGGGATATAAACTGAGCAGATCGTGATTGGTCTGTGCAGGGTGACCCCTACGGCAATAGCCTGGAGGGTCGTCTTAAGATGTACTTGTCTGTGGAGTGTGTTGTTGTCGGTCTAGATGGTGGTACCACTGGAAGCAATCTGGTTCTCCGTGTGAATGTGATGATACGCAGTAACTCCTCTTAAGTCAATGGTTGAAGCCGGGGCGAATTTTGTTTCTTGTATACAGGCCACACGTGGGCACAGTGTGGCCTGTAAGAGTTGTAATTCTGCTAGGGAAGGTCGGATTCCGCTGGGCATTCCATTGCAGGACCGCCGTTATATCTTTTTAGCTTTGATTTTGGAGCTCAAAGGCCCCGGCTTCGAAGAAACACTCTGACTCCTCCTTGCGGGGGAGGCAGAGTGATTTCTAGGTTGCCGTCCTGGATTGGACGGCGGTCTAGTGGGGGATTTGGAGGAGTGACAGACTCCGCCCTTCCCGGGCTCAATCCGGGTAGGGGGGGTCGGAGCTGTCCTCCTCCATAGGCAGGGGTTTGTCTGCTGGAGGGGTAGGGGGAGGTGGAGCAGACGGAGGGGGCTGGGAAGGGGGGGGGGGGCTGGGGGGAGGGGAGAAGGCCCACCTCACACTCCATCAGAGCAATGGGCTGTGAGGTGGAAGAAGAAGAAGGAGAAGAAGAAGAAGTGATAGAAGAGGGGTGAAGGGGAGAAGAGGGGGCGGAGGAAGAGTCCTCCCCGTCCTCCCCGTCCTCACCGTTCTCCCCGTCCTCCCCTAGAACCCCATAGCGGTTAGAAAGTGGCACCGCATAGGGGGTTGCCACAGGGATAGTAGCGGGCCTTTTGTTCTTAGGCACAGAGACTTGCCTGTTGACCGCGGGCTTTGGGAGGTCGGCAGTAGAATTACTTGCCAGCCTCGTGACCACCTGGGCTGCCTTTGAATATGACCGGCCAATGACTGGGGTTATGATTGGCGGGCAGACAACCTTACGGGCCTCCTTGAAGGAGCAGCCATTTCGCGCCTTGTATTCTTGTATAGCGCGTTCTTGGAGCCAAGTCGGGCACTCCTTGCTGAAAGCTGTGTGCTGGCCGTGGCAATTGGGGCAACAAGGACTAGCCTTGCATTCTCAGGATGCCCGGTCTTGCCTCAACGAGGACACACGGCTGCGTGACGGCACCGTGACTGGCTATGGCCGAACTTCGGACACTTGAAACAACGCAAAAGGTTCGCACATAGGGTCGTACGTCGAGTACCAAGTAAGATGCCCAAACGGTGACAGGAGGGTGACACGATTCGAATGTGAGGACAATCGTGTTTGTTTCAATAGTAGTCTCCCCCCGCCGAAGAGTAATCCGGCGGGCTTCGACCACTCCCTCACAGTGCTCCACAATTTCTTCCATGGAGCAACCTTTCAGCTCATGGCTGCGGACGACGCCCTTCGAGCGCTTAAATTTCTGGTAGCGCTCGGACCTACGTGGAATACCGCCGAAGGTCGTGGTATCCAGGAGTTTGGTCACTTCGTCTTCAGTTGCGCACTTCTGGACATTTGTAGGAATGTATCCCAGAACCTATCGTAGTGCATCTCCCGTCTTGAGCAGATTCAGATCAGTGATCTTCTTCTGTGCGTCTTCTTTGCAGCTGATGGCCACGTACGGCTGCTTCGGAAGCTCCCTGGGAGAAGGGACGAAAGAAGCAACGGTAGAGGACCTTTTACCAGATTTTGAGTTTTTGCTCGGCTCGGCGGCCGCACCCGCTTCCGCGAGACGAGACTTCTTGTTAACGTTGGGAGCTGGGGAAGGGTCTTTTTAAATTTTGAATCCATATGAAATTTATGGTTGATTCGACTCCGGGGCTCCCCGCCCGCCACGGAGCCCAACAAGGGGACACATTGCTCGGATGACCAGAGCTGTGCCAGGGCTACCCCGGAGCTATACTCTCAACGAGAAAGTACAATACCCTCCCGACAAGATTGACCCAGGGCTTGATGGGGTTTCAGCTCTCAACCGATTGAGTGGCATGGGCCGTGCGACCCTCCCGTCTAAGAGGAAAACCTGGGCCAGAGAAGTCCGTGGGCGAGGACAGTCCGTGGACTGATCTCACCTCACCCGCCAGGTACCCGGTTTCCCTCCGCACGGGCTGCACCTCACGGTCAACGAGACGCCCACTCTGTGGGATGGGTGACCTCTCTTTTTTCTGCTCATGAGGTCAGAGGTGGTAGGAAAGATAGAAGGAAGGAGGAGAGGAAGATACAACAAAGCAGGTGTCGCATCCGGATCTCAGAGGGTTGGGGTCCGTGTGCGACACCTCGCCTTTGAAGGGGTTGCACCTTCTGCAGACGAAGCAGTGGGTCTATTTATATACACACACACACATGTATAATAATCATATATTATATATATATATTATATATATATATATATATATATATATATATATAGTCATATATATATTATATAAATATATATATTATATAAATATATATTATATGTGTGTGTGTATGTGTGTGTGTGTGTGTGTATGTGTGTGTGTCTGTGTGTGTGCTTGTCACTCACAAACTCTCTCTCTCTCTCTCTCTCTCTCTCTCTCTCTCTCTCTCTCTCTCTCTCTCTCTTACACACACACACACACACACACACACACACACACACACACACACACACACACACACACACACACACACATACACACACACATAATATGAGTATTCGCCTAAAGGTGGGATACCCTGGAGTGACAAATGAAGTCCAAAATAAATGTTACATAGTTAACTCTGTGATGTTATAATATAGCCTCATGTTTGTTCCTATTTAGTAGAGGGTTTTACAGCCCTCACATTTGCATAAGGTCATATGAGCGCCATGTTTGCTTTTAGAAGTTTAGTGACACACACTTATAAAGAAACAACGCTACTTTCTCTTGCTCGGTTGATGTTATATTATTTTGAGACTCAAACGACTTTCAGATGACAGGAAATTGACATTTTCACTAGTATTTAGTAATATTACTTTCTCTGTCATAATAGTTCTGAAAGGGAACAAGTGACAAAAAGTCTTAATTTTGTAAAGTTTCATTGACAAAAATTGTAATTTAAAAATAAAATTCTAGTCTTATTATCGCCAAAGGGAGAATCAAAGACCACTTAATAATTATTTTCTGAGGCAGTCTGATCACTGGACATGTAATGACTAAATTATAGGTTCCTTTATAACCATGATGACATACCGTTTTGCTGATTAATTATGTCAAATTTTAGTCCCAAGCCCCCCACCCCCCTCCTCAAATTGATGTGTTGATTTGTCATAATGCTTTTAATTAACGAGGCTCTCCTCGAAATAAGTATGTATATAAATGAACACAAAGCATACATACACTGGGAAAGCCTCTAGAATAAATACTTTTCAGTTAATGACATGTTTTGTGAGGTTGCTATTTTTTCACGTAGGACCTCTTAATTTAAACTTAAAATTGAAGTCCATCTCAGTTCCTGATTGAAACATGCAAGTAGGCCCAAAGCCTCGAGAACTTCGAGAACACTCCACATTGCCGCATCGATGACACGAAACAAGTAACTCTCCCTGATATGTATAAATGTACCAACTGCGTCCTCTTTATACATGTAGTAAAATTTGGTTTTCATCAACAGATACGCAAAGGAGATGAAGGAAACGACTCCAAGTGATTGGTGCGCGGAAAGTCTTGAACCGTCAAACCTGATCAACAGCAGTCAATTCATAGCTTGGGACCGCCAATTCGCTCCAAGCACAAAAGAGCTTGTGAAAGTATCCACAGAAAATTCTTCGAAAAGTACGGTTCTGTGAGGTGAACACGAAGAAGTTCGCTATGGGCATCATGCACCTCAACAGTTCTAATGATATGAAGAGAGGTAAATCGTAAATGGTGTAGTTGTAAAATTTATATGCCATGAAATACACGTACGGACTGACAGTTACAAAAAAGATTCCGAAATACATGGCAAACATTCTTACGACATTCCCGTCGTCGAGCGTGCATTGTTGTGAAGGTGTTTCTTGTCTAACAGAACGCAGAAGTTTCCGGATGGCCCGTTTGTGATCTAGGGTGATCTTCATAATGTGAACGTTTATGATAAAAACTATGACTGACACAACTGAGTGGACGGATGGGATTACATAAACGATCTGGATGTAGAAATATGGGTCTCCTAGTTCAGTAGCAGAGGTTGTTAAGTGGGCGTTAACTGCACATCCACCTATCCATATAGACGCCACAGTCAATATTTTCCACCTCCTGGTATTGAGTCTTCTATGAACAAATGGGCGTGAGATGTAAAACCACCTTTCCCCCGACACAACCACATAACTAAAAGAATTCCAAAGGAAAGAAGCCGAGAGAACAAAGTCCAGGGTGGACATCTCAGGGATATTGGACAAAAAGTAATTTTTCAGTCCAGTCCTGAGCTTGTTTTGAATCAAACTAAACGTGGAAATCGTAACGACACATACGATTAGATCACTCATGGCTAGAGACACAACGAACATGTTGGCAGTCGTTTGGAGACGTTTGTTCGCACAGATTGTAACAATGATACACAGAGAGAGTATGGCTCCAATCGAACATTGCGTCGTCTGTATTACAAATTTTGTTGTAATTAAGTCACTGTTTGCTTCCATATTGTTTAAATACTCTGAGATATATTCAGATATGTTCGAGGGCGCCATCGTTTATCGAACACTACTCGTATTAGGCTTTCAAAGACAAATACAAACTTCAGCCAATCTGGTCGCGCCTTCAAGAAAACGATTCACGAAGTTTGTTTTCTGCTCATTGTTCACCAGAAGTGTAGACACTGCAAAACTTTACTTCAATTGATTGTAGACAAATACATATTAATATAGGGAACGGCTTCTAGGCACACATCTTTAATGTTTATTTAAAGCAATCACACAGGGCTTGGGTAAACAACGATTCGAATAGATGCAGCAAACATATACACAGAAGTGTCATCTCGAATTGAATCCCTTATTTAAAGCATTAAAAAAAATGAAGCGGCTTTGAGTAAAAACAAGAAGCGATGATGATGCGGACAAATTCGTTGCCTTTGAAGTGAAATCTTGCTATACCGTTGATTTCTTCGTGTCGCTAATGCTGTGTACGGTCGAAAAGACACAATTTCTACGCATCACAACGATAACTATGTTATATCACGATGAACAGCAGTCCTACTCCTCCAGAAAACACAGCAGGCTGAAGAGGTTCGCTCTTGAAAACAATCAAACTATTCAAACAACGCACTGCTTACTCTGTCTCTACAACACAGTCAGAACATCATCCTGTACCTTGTATATATCTCGAACCCGTTACGGATTTATGTATATAGTTCCAGTTTCCTTCCTTCATTCTCACTTCTCTCCTTGGCATTGGATCAGATAAAGCAGTGGTTATCAAAGTGGGCTCTACCGCCCCCAGGGGGGCGATGGCAACAGTTTTGGGGGGCGCTGTGGCGAAATTGGGCGATTGGGGGGCGCTAGTGGACGTCAAGGGGGCGGTGTGAAATTTTCATGAAAGGCAAAAAAAAATAAAAATGTCTGCAATCCTGTTCAACCCGGCCATTGACTGGGTCATGAGGAAAACAACAGAGGATACATCAAGAGGCATAAGGTGGACCCTCTTCTCCATCCTCGAGGATCTTGACTTTGCCGACGACCTTGCACTACTCTCCCATACCAACCAGCACATGCTGGAAAAAACAAACCGACTCCACAAATGCGGACGCCAGATTGGGTTAAGAATAAGCCAGAAGAAGACAGAAGTGATGACATTGAATGTAGGCTCCCCAACGCTGATTAGGATGAACAACACAGACCTCCCTATAACAGACACATTTACCTACCTAGGCAGCATAATCAAAACTGACGGCGGCACAAAGGAAGACATCATGAACAGACTAGGCAAGGCGAGATCTGTACACAGAGGCATGATCAACATCTGGAAGTCAGGACAATTTAGTATACAAACCAAGTTAAAGCTGTATAACAGCTGTGTACTATCCACACTTCTATATGGAGCTGAATGCTGGAGGATGACTGATCATGACCGTGTCAAGCTATCTTCCTTTCATACAACCAGCTTACGCCAAATCCTCAGAATCTTCTGGTCCGAC